TTGCTGTGCCCGGGCTGTGTTTGGGGCACTGCCAGGCTGGGGGAGGGTGGACAGAGCTCGGGGGGGGGGAACACAGAGCCCTGGAGGGAGGATCCCCGAGCCTGGCGTGGCCCCCAGCACCCCCCGTCTCCCCGCTTGTCCCCCTGGAGATGTTTCTGCATGGGGGGGTGCACGGTTTTGGGGGGGGCGGCTGGAGCCTGGCTGGGGGCGAGGGGGGCTGCGAGGGGGGCTCAGGCGGCCGTGGGGGGCTGCGGGGGCTGCACTCTGCAATAGCTGCATGTGGGGAAGGGGCTCCCCCCGCTCTCTCAGCCCAAATCTGCTGCTCTGGTCCCAAAATCTGCCCTTTTTTCCCCCCAAACCTTCCCTTCTGGCAATGCCGGGGAGGCTGCTCGTCGCTCCCCCCGCACCCCCAAAAGGCTCAGCCCCCTACCCAAGTTGGTGGGACCCCAAATCCTGCCCTCCCCAGGCAAGAACAGCAGGGATACTGAGGCACATGGGCCCCCTATTCCCACGGGGGAATCCCCCCATTCCCCCTATTTCTATCAGAGGAATCCCCCCACTCCCCCGTTCCCACGGGGGTCCCAGAGGGGTCGAGCAGAGAGAGAGGGTGGGACGGACGGACGGACGGACGGACGGACAGCGCGGGCATTCCGGGGTCCGGGTGGGCACCGACCCTCTCCCCCGCTCCCCGCAGGGTTCTCAGTGGACTCGGGCGCGGGGCTGACGAGCCGGGGGGGGGGCTGAGCTTTGTCACCGGCGCCCCCCGCGCCAACCACACCGGGGCTGTCGTGATCCTGCGTCGCGACAGCGCCAACCGCCTGGTGCCCGAGGCGGTGCTACCCGGGCCGCAGCTCAGCTCGGCCTTCGGGCACGCCCTGGCCGTGCTCGACCTCAACAGCGACGGGTGAGCGCGGGGGGACCCCCGGGAGACCCCCCCCGACAGAGTCCAACCCGGGATCCCCCATTCCCCAGGACCCCCGGCCCCACCCATTCCCAAGGCCCCCTCAATCCCTGGGATTCCCCCCCCCCAGGACTCTCACCCTTGAGCATCCCCCCCGATCCCCAAGGACCCCCCAATCCCTGAATCCCCCCAAAATCCCAGTGCCGTGTCTGGGGGCACCGGGACACTTTGGGGGTCACCCAGGAGGTGACAGACCCGTGTTCCCTCAGGTGGATGGACCTGGTGGTGGGGGCCCCCCACTTCTTTGAGCGCCAGGAGGAGATCGGGGGGGCTGTTTATGTTTACATCAACCCCGGGGGGCTCTGGGATGCTGTGACCCCCCTGAGGCTCAACGGCACCCGGGGGTCCATGTTTGGCACCGCCCTGAGCACAGCCGGGGACCTCAACCATGAGGGCTTGGGGGGGGGGGGGGTTGGGGGGGGATCTGGGGGAGTTTTGGGGTCTCCAGGGGCTTAGGATGGTGGAACTGGGGACTTTGACCATGATGGATTTGAGGATGAGGGGTTTGGGGGGATTTGGGGTCCCCAAGGGCTGGGGGTGTTGCCATTGTGGACCACAAACAGGATGGTTTTGATGGTGAGGGATTTGGGGGGCTCTGGATACCCCAAAAACTGGGGATGGTGGCACCAGGACCTCAACCAGGACAGATTTGAGGGTTTGGGGTTCGGGGGGTGGGGTTGGGGTCTCCAAGGGCTGGGTATGGTGGCACTGGGGGCTGTCCCCCCGAGAGGGTCCCGGGAGGGCTCTGTGCCCCCCCCCAGCTGCCGTTGCCCCCCCAGACCTGGCTGTGGGAGCCCCTTTCGACGGCGCCGGCAAAGTGTTCATTTACCACGGGAGCGCCCTGGGCATCGTGGCCAGGCCGGCCCAGGTGAGGGAGGGACTGTGGGGAGGGGGCTGCTCTGGCAGGGCCCCCACGGGGTCCCCTGTCACCTACCGGTGTCCCCAGGTCCTGGACGGGGAGGCCGTGGGGGTCCCAACCTTCGGGTATTCCCTGTCGGGGGGGCTGGACGTGGATGGGAACCTGTACCCCGACCTGCTGGTGGGGTCCCTGTCTGACACCGTGGTGCTCTACAGGTGAGACCCCATCCCCGGGACCACCTCTGGGAGCCCCTGGCCCCAAGGACCCCTGAGACTGAGCATCCCCCCCAATTCCCAAGGATCTCAATCCTTTGGAGCTCCCCATCCTCCAGGACCCCCATTCCCAAGGAGTCCCCAACCCTGCACTGCCCCCATCTCCAGAGAACCCCCAGTCCCAAGGATTGGATCCCCAAGGACCCCCCACATCCCTGGGCATCCCCCCCTCCCGGAGGACCATCCATCCCTGAGGACCCCCACCCCTAAGGAGCCCCCGTCCCAGGGCTCCCTCAACCCCTCCCAGAGCATCCCCCGCCCTGGGGGTCCCTGCAGAGCTGGGGGTACCCTCAGGAGGGGGGTGCCCGCTCTGGGATCCCGTTTGCCCCCGGCAGGGCCCGCCCGGTGGTCCACGTGTCCCGGAACGTGTCACTGCTGCCCCCCACCATCGACCTGGAGCAGAGCAACTGCCACCACCGGGAGGGCGTCTGGTGGGTGCCCGCGAGTCCCCTGCACCCCCTCCCCGGGGATGGGCCCAGGGGGCCGCTGCCCCCCGTCTGACCCCGTGCCCCCCCCAGCGTGGAGGTCCGAGCCTGTTTCAGCTACACGGCCAGTCCTGCGAGCTACAGCCCCCGCCTCGGTGAGACCCCCGAGGGACCCCAGCCCCGGGAGCGTCCCGGCCCCGAGGATCCCCAGCCCCGAGGACCCCCAATCTCTACTGCCTCCCCTCCCTGAGGCCTCCCCTCCCTGTGCCCCCAGAGCTGGAGTTCGTGCTGGACGTGGACACCGAGCGCCGGCGCCGTGGCCAAGCCCCCCGGGGGTCGTTCCTGGGCCGTGGCCCCGCAGACCCCGAGCACCAGCTCTCTGGGACCCTGGAGCTGCCCCGGCAGCGCAGCCGGGCCTGTGTCACCTCCACCTTCCAGCTACACGTGGGTGCTGGCCTTGGCCCCATCCTCATCCTCAGCATCCCCATCCCCATCCCCATCCCCATCCCCATCCCATCCCTGTTCCCATTCCCAATCTTCATCCTTCTCATCCCTATTCCTGTCTCCGCCTTCATCCTCATCATCCCCATCCTTGTCCCCCTCCTCAGTCCCACCCCACGGCCCCCTCCAGCTGTGCCAACACCTCCCAGGTCCCTGAGTCACCCCTGACCTTCCTCCCTCTGTCCTCCTCTTCCTCTTTGTGTCCCTCCAGGACGGGATCCGGGACAAGCTGCGGCCCATCGTTGTCACCTTGGCCTATGGGATCCGGGGGCCTGGGGGGCACCGGGGGGGGCGGGGGGCTGTGCTGCCCCCCCTTTCCCCCGCGCTCAGCCCCCACCAGCCCAGCACCCACCGCGCCGAGGTGGGCACTGCCAGAGACCACCGGCCTGGGGGCCTGTCCCTCCCAGGGGTACCTGGGGTGTCACCCCCATCCCACCTGGGGGCCACCTGGAGAGTCCCCCAGTCCAACCTGGGGGTTACCTGCAGTGTCCCCCCCATATCCCAGGGAGTGCCCTGTTCTACTCAGGGGTCACCTGTACTGTCCCCTGTGTCCCCAGGGGCACCCCATCCCCCCCGGAGCCCCCCTGAGTGCCCCCCGTGCCCCCCCAGGTGCATTTCCTGCGCCAGGGCTGCGGGGATGACAAGATCTGCCAGAGCAACCTCCGGCTGCACTTCCAGTTCTGCGCCCGCCGCGGTGACAGCGAGTTCCTGCCCCTGCCCAAGTGAGGGGGCTGGGGGGCAGTGCCTACCCTGGCGGGATGGGGGTGTGGGGCGGATGGTCCTGGGGGTGTGGGATGGTCCTGGGGGTGTGGGATGGTCCTGGGGGTCCGGGGTGTGTGGGATGGTCCCGGAGGTGTGAGACGGTGGCTGTGCCCCCGCAGGGCCGAGGATGGCACTGCCATCTTCGCCATGAGTGACCAGAAGGACGTGGCCCTGGAAGTCCTGGTGACCAACGAGCCGTCGGACCCGGCGGAGCCGCAGCGGGATGGGGACGACGCCCACCAGGCCCAGCTCACGGCCACCCTCCCCCCGGAGCTGCCCTACGCGGCCCTGCGGCCCGACGAGGGCGGGGGGCTCGGGGTGAGGGGCCGGGGGTGTGGGGTGGAGAGGGGGCTGGGGGTGTGGGGTGGGGAGGGGGTTGGGGGTGCGGCAGGCCGGGGGTGCCCACAGGGGGGGTTCAATCCTGTGCCCCCCAGGACAAGCCCGTGCTGTGCCTCGCCAACCAGAACGGCTCCCAGGTGGAGTGTGAGCTGGGCAACCCCCTGAAACGCGGAGCACAGGTGGGCACAGCCCCCTCCCCAATCCCTCGCCCCTCCCACCCCCTGGCCTGGCCCCAGCACTCCCCCCTGTGCTCCCCCTGTGCCCCAGGTGCGGTTCTTCCTCATCCTCGGCACCTCGGGAATAACCATCCACACCTCGGACCTGGCCGTGGAGCTCGTGCTGTCCACGTGAGCGGGGGGGCGGGGGTGGAGACCCCCGGGGTTGGGGGTGGAGACCCCCGAGGTTGGGGGTGGAGACCCCAGGGGGTTTGGAGACCAGAGGCCTGGGGGGGTCTGGGGCCTGGAGTACCCAGGATTTAGGGTGTGGAGGCCCCAGGATTTGGGGCGAAGCCGTGGGGGCTTTGGGGGTTGGATCCACAGGGTTGGGGGAGTTCAGCCCCCCGCGCTGGGCTCTGGGCACGGCACGGGGGGGGGGTGCTGCCCCCCCCCGACTCCCCGACCCCTCCCCAGGATCAGTGAACAGCCGGGGCTGGAGCCGGTGGTCGCTCGTGCCCGGGTGGTCCTCGAGCTGCCCCTCTCCGTGACGGGGTAAGTGGGGGTCGGGACCACCCCAGGACCCCCCCCCGGGACCCTCTCCGGGACCCCCTTGACCCCTGTCTGTCCCCTCCCAGAGTGGCTGTGCCCCCCCGGCTGTTTTTCGGGGGGGAGGTGCGGGGGGAGAGCGCCGTGCGCAGGGAGAGCCAAGTGGGCAGCGCCGTCAGCTTCGAGGTCACGGTGAGTCCCCCGCCGGGTCCCCCATGGGAGAACTGGGAGTGGGGCAGGGGGTGTCTGTGGGCTGGGGGGTTCATGTGGGGGCATTTATGGGGTGGGGGGTATTTGTGGAGCGGGGGGTCCATGTGGGTGGATCATTTTGTGATGGGGGTTTTTTGGAGAGGGGTGTCCATGTGGGGGCACCTTTGGGGCAGGGCGCCCATGGGGGGCATTTATGAGGTGGGGAGCGTTTTGGGGTCTGGGAGGATCCATGTGAGTGGCATTGACGGGGTGGAGGGTGTTTGTGGGGTGGGTGGCACTCATGAGGTGGGGGTCTCGTGCCCCCTCCAGGTGTCCCACAGGGGACAGGCGCTGAAGACTCTGGGCTCTGCCTTCCTCACCCTGCACTGGCCCCACGAGCTGCCCAACGGAAAGTGGCTCCTGTACCCCCTGAGCCTGGAACTGGGCACCCCCCCCTGTGCCCTGCAGCCCCTCTGCCAACCCCCTGCGCCTCACCCTGGTACGGCCACAGGGCTGGGGGTGCCTGGGGGGGGCTGGGGGTGCCTGGAGGGTGTCAATGAGGGTGCCCAGGGGCAGTCAAGTGGTGCCCAGGAGTGCCCGGGGGTGCCTCGGGGCTGTCCAGAGATGTCTGGGGGTCTCTGGGGGTGCCCAGGTGTGCCCAAGGGTCCCTGCTGCCCCCCTCTTATTCCCCCCCAGGAGCCACTGGGACAAGGTGACCCCCCCCAGGCATCCCCCCCCCGATCCTGGTGGGTCCCAGCGCCCTCAGAGAGGAGGAGGAACGTGACACTTGTGAGTGGGGGGACACTCGCTTTGGGGGGGGCCCTGCTCAGGGAGTCCTGCTTTTAGGTGGGCCTGTCCAGGGGAGGGGCACTCTGGGGATGCCCCTCCTGGAGTGCCCCTATTCCAGCACGCACAGTCCTGGGGTGCCCCTGTTTCCGGTGTGCCCCTGCTCTGGCACATGCAGTCCTGGGGTCCCCCCACCCTGTGGTCCCCCCATTCCCAAGGCCCCCCAATTCCTGGAGTGCCCCCACCCCGGTGTCCCGTTTCAGGCTGCAGTGTGACACCCCCCCTTCCCCCATTCCCGGGGTCTCCCCTCATTCCCGATGTCCCGTCCCCCCAGGACTGTGCCCGGGGCACTGCCCGCTGCCGCCCGTTCCTGTGCCCGCTGCCCACCCTGGAGCGCTCGGAGCTGCGGGCGCGGGGCCGCCTCTGGAACGGCACCTTCCTGGAGGTACCGGGGCTGAGGGGGGATGGGGGGCAGCGATGGGTGGGAAGGGGGCTCAGCCCGGCCCAGACTCCCCCTGTTCCCACCAGGAATTCCTGGATGTCTCCTCGCTGGAGCTGATCGTCCGTGCCGAGGTTTCCGTCACCTCCCCCAGCAAGAACCTGGTGCTCAAGGATGCGGCCACACAGGTCTGACCCCTGCCCCGACCCCTCCGGGGCCCCCCCACTCCCCTAGACTCCTCTGACCCCCCCTGCCCCCCCAGATGTCGGTGTCCATCCACCTGGACCCGGGGGTGGCAGTGGCGGGGGTCCCGTGGTGGGTGGTCCCGCTGGCGGTGCTGCTCGGGATCCTCCTCCTGGCCCTGCTGGTCCTCGGGCTCTGGAAGGTGAGGGACGGATCCCCCTGACCTCCCCGGCCCCCGTGACCCATCCCCCTGTCCCCTGACCTGTCCCCCGGTGCCCCAGGTGGGGTTTTTCCGCCGTGCCCGCCGTGCCCCCCCGGCCGTGCCGCAGTACCACGCCGTGCGGATCCCGCGGGAGCAGCGGCGGCACCTCCTCGAGGGCAGGACGGGCACCATCCAGAGGCAGGAATGGGCCGCCAGCCCCGCCGAGCCCCTGGATGGACGCGGGACCCCCAGCTCCGCATAGACCCCCCACTGTGAAATGGGGGGTGGGCACGGGGGGCACGGACATGGAGTATGGGGTGTGGAACATGGGATATGGGATACAGGACATGGGTATGGGGTATGGGACGTGGACATGGGATACGGGACATGGGACATGGACACAGACAAGGGATAAGGGACACGGACACAGGATGTGGGACATGGACATGGGATACGGGGTGTGGGATATGGACACAGACAAGGGATAAGGGACATGGACACAGGATATGAAACATGGAATATGGCCATGGGACATGGACATGGAACATGGATACGGGATATGGGACACAGAACACGGACATGGGATATGGGACATGCAACACGGGATATGGAACATGGGACATGAAACATGGGACACAAACAGGGGACACAGGACATGGAACACGGGATTGTCCGCCCTGGCCGTGCTCTGGGGATGGCAGCAGGAACAGGGGACATGGACATGGACATGGAGCCTGGGAAATGGAACCTGGGACACGGGACATGGAACACGGGACATGGGATTTCCTGTCCTGGCCGTGCCCTGGGAAGGTCCCAGTGAGGCACCGGCTGTGCTGGAGCACCTGGGAATGTTTGTCCTGGGATGGGGCCATCGGGCCCATGGGGCACTTTGGCCCCACAGGTTCAGTTTGGTCCCAGGGGTCACTTCAGCCCCACATGAAGGGTTTGGCCCCACACGGGGTCTCAACCCCCTGGGCTCAGCTCGGCCCCACAGCAACGTTCACCCCAATAAAAGGTGCTGTTCCCCCACCGGGCCTGAGTCCTTCACAGCCTGGGGACAGTCACGGGGTAGGGGTGGGGGCTGAACCCCTGAAACTGCCCCTGGTTCATTGGGGGACTGGGGAGACCCCCTAAAACGGCCCTTAAATTGGCCCCTGCGTTATTGGGGTGTTGGTGCGAACCCCTGAAATAGCCCCTGGCTCAGCAGGGGCTGTAGGAACCTCTAAAAATGGCCCTTAAATTGGCCCCTGGCTCATGGGGGCTCATGTGGCTCCTGGCTCAGACACAAGAGCTAGTGGATATTCCAGCAGCCAAACTACACAGTTTTATTAACTAGATCGAATAAATTTGATCGGATCGATCGGGAAGTTCCAGGACCCCATGATGGGTGAGGGCACCCGCCATGATAAGTGTGGCGGTGGTGCCACTATGATGGGAACGGCCGCTTCAACGGCCGGAACAAGCTGTACCAGCCGGGACAAGCGGGCACGTCCCGTTCCCACCCTCGCGAGTTGGGCCCGGCCCGGCCCGGCCGCCCCCGGCCCGCCCTCATCTCCGTCTCAGAACGCGGGGAGCGCGGCCCTGCCCTTAGTCAAGATGGCGTCAGGCAGCAAGGGCAAAGGAGGAACCTCTCACATGGCGGCGGCCTCCGCGGCTTCGGTGACGTCACGGGCTTCCGGAAGGGAAGCGGCCATGGCGGCCCGGGGATGCCGGGGCTGGTGAGGCCTGAGGGGGAGTGGGGGGTCCGGGGGGGTTGGGGAGGTCCGTGAGGGGTTCTGGTGGCGACACGGGGCTGGGGGACGGTGGGAGGGGCATGAGGCCCGGGCCGAGTCCCCCCCGCGCCGACAGGTTGTGCCCTTTTCATCCCCCCCCCGTTGTCACCCCCCGTGTCTCCTCATGGCCCCCACACCCCCAGTCTGCCCCCCCGGAGGTGTGACAGAACCCCCCCCATGTCCTCATTGCCCCCTCCCCAATCCTCATTGTCTCCCAAATTCCTCCCGAATCCACCCCCCCCGGGGTGTGACAGCCCTGGGGGGGCACTGGGTGACACACCCACCTGCTGTGACCCCCCCAGAGACCCCCAGGACCCCCCCCAGGATCCCCCATGGCCACGAGTCGCTCGGAGGACGAGGAGTCCCTGGGGGGGACCAAAAGGGGCCCGGCCCCCCCCCCCCGGGGACTGTCCCCAAACGTCGCAGCTCCTCCAGGTACGGGGGGACGGGGGGGCTGGGGGAGCCTTGGTGGGGGTCGGGGGCGCTGAGAATGAGCCACAACGAGGGGGGGGCTGGAGGGGTCCCCTGGGGACTGTCCCCAAATGCTGCAGCTCCTCCAGGTACGGGGGGCTTTGGGGGTCTTGGGGTGTCTGGGACGGTCTTGGGAGGGGTCAGGGGGAGCTGAGAATGAGCCGCAACGAGGGGACACTGGGGGTGATGTGGTAGGGGGTGGGGGACGTGGGGGGGCACGGGGGGCCCAGGCAGGATGTGGGCACAGGGGGGTCTGGTGCCATGTCTGTACCTCCCCGTGCCCCCCCCTGCAGGTTCATCAAGAGGAAGAAGTTCGACGACGAGCTGGTCGAGAGCAGCCTGGCCAAGTCCTCGAGCCGCGCCAAGGGGGGCCCAGAGCCCCCCCCTCGGCCTGGCCCCGACCCCCCCCCGGGGGACAGGAGGAAGGTCAGGGCTGGGTGGGGACTGGGGGCAGCACAGGGACATTGGGGACACCCTGGGACCAGTGGGGGAGTCCCAGGGCAGGTGGTCCTGGGGCCATCCCGGGGTCACTGGGGACATCCAGGTTCATTCAGGAGCCATTGGGAGCCCCCAGAGCCCCCTGTGCCCCCCCCATGCAGATGTCGAGGGTGGTGTCCCCCCCATGACCCCAGGCCTGGGACCCCCCCCCATGGCTGTTGGGGACATCCAGAAGCCATTGGGGACATCCCAGCAGCCTGGGGACCCCCAGAGACCCCTCTAAACCTGTCCCTCCCTCCAAGGTGTCCAGGGCAGTGCCCCCCCCCCGCGGCCCCCGGGCCCCCCCCTGGGCTGCCCAAGAGGCTCAAGAAGAGCAAACAGAGCCCGGCGGTGCCGCGGGACCTGGGCCGCTGGAAACCCGCCGACGACCTGCTGCTCATCAACGCCGTGCTGCAGGTGGGCTGGGGGGCTCAGGGACCCCCCTCACCCGGTGGGGTTTGGGGAGACCCCCCAGACCCCTCCTCTGACCTGGGGGTGTTCCCAGACCAACGACCTCACCTCGGTTCACCTGGGGGTGAAGTTCAGCTGCCGCTTCACCCTGAGGGAGATCCAGGAGCGCTGGTACGCGCTGCTCTACGACCCCGTCATCTGCAAGTGAGAGGGCTCAGGGGGGATCCAGGGGTCTGTGGGGGGAGCTGGGGGTCCCTGGTCCCTGAAGGACTTCCAGGGATGCTGCTCTACAGCCCCGTCATCTGCAAGTGAGGGGGCTTGGGGGGCTTAGGGGGGATCCAGAGGTCTGTGTGAGGGGGAACCGGGGGTCCTGGGGGGTCTTAGGTGTCCCCAGAGGAGCTGGGATGTCCCCAGGGGGTGGTTTCAGGTGTCCCTGAGGAGTGTCTCAGCCCTCCCTGGGGGTCTGGGTCGTCCTTTGGGGTCTCACCTGTCCTTGGCAGGGTCTCATATCTGGGCTGTCCTTGGGGGTCTCGGGGGGGTCTCCCCCACGCTGGGGGTCCCTGGGGGTCTCACCTCCGGGTCCCCCAGACTGGCCTGCCAGGCCATGCGCTCGCTGCACCCCGAGGCCGTGGCCGCCGTGCAGAGCAAGGTCCTGTTCAGCAAAGCTGAGGAGCAGCTGCTCACCAGGGTCCCCTCGGTGAGTGGCCCCAAACAGCCCCAAAGAGTCCCCAAATGTCCCCTGACCCCCCAGCTGCTCATCAGGGTGGGATTGGGCACAGTGGGGGGTTCCCAAGTGTCCCCAAGTGTCCCTTTGTGTCTCCTCCTGGCCTCTCCTGTTGTGTCCCCTCACATCCCTCCATGTCCCCTTGGGTTTCCACGTTTCCCCTTGCGTCTCAAAGTGTCCCCCCACATCCCCCTCATGTCCCCTGTCCTCCCCAGACCCCCCAGCCCTCCCTGGAGACCTTCCAGGACCTGCTGCTCCGACACCCCGAGGTGTTTTACCCTTCAAGGACCCCCAAGGCCCTGCAGCTGCACTGGCAGCTCCTGCGCCAGTACCACCTGCTGCAGGACCAGACAGGTGAGGGGGGGGCCTGGGGGGCACTGGGGGGGGCCTGGGGGGTCACCAGCCCCTCACCCCCCCCTCCCACTCCCCAGTGCAGCCCCTGCCCAAGGGGGACCAAGTGCTGAACTTCTCGGACGCTGAGGAGATGGTGGATGACGGGAAACTCAGGTGGGGGGGCTTGGGGAGGTTTGGGGGGGCTTTGGGGGAGTGGGGGGAAGTAGGAGGTCAAGGGAGGGGCTGGAGATGAAGGGAAGGGGTTTTGTGGGGGCAGGGAGGTCAGGTGAGGTTTGGGGGGGCTCAAGGGAGAGTTTGGGGGGGCTGGAGGTGTTGGGAGCTCGAGGGTTTTGGGGGGCACAGGGAGCTCAAGGGAGGGTTTGGGGGGACTGAGGGAGGGTTGAGGGGGCTGGAGGCTGTTTGGGGGGGGGGGCTGGGAGGGGGACAGGGCCCCCCCTGGGGAGTTCAGGTGTCCCAGGGAGCCCCAGTGATATTTTTGGGGGGTTTGGGGTCCTGGGGGGTGGTCTCACCATCCCAACCCCCCTTCTCCTGGGCAGGGATGTGCGGGATGAGGTGCTGGAGCACGGTGAGTGTCCCTCACCCTCCTGAACCCCCCTGAGCCCCCCTAGACCCCTGAGGAAGGGGTGAGGTACCCCCCGGCCCCCCCAGGACCCTCTTTGCCCCCCCCTCCAGAGCTGACGGTGGCGGATCGGCGGCAGAAACGGGAGATCCGGCAGCTGGAGCAGGAGCTGCACAAGTGGCAGGTGCTGGTGGATTCCATCACAGGTGGGCTGTCTGTCTGTCTGTCTCCCGCTGTCCCTCTGTGTCCCTGGTGTCTGTCTGTCCCTGATGTTTCTGTGTCCCACTAATTCCCATTGTCCCTCTGTCCCTCCCTCTGTGTCTGTGTGTCCCCCCTTGACCCCCACTGTCCCCCCATTCCAGGGATGAGCTCCCCGGATTTCGACAGCCAGACCCTGGCAGTGCTGCGGGGGAGGATGGTGCGGTACCTGATGCGCTCCCGAGAGGTAAAACACCCCCAAATTCACCCCCAAACCCCCACCCTCCAAAATCCTCCCGGGGACCCCTCAAACCCCCCCCAAATCTCTCCCCAAAGATCACCTTGGGCAGGGCCACCAAGGACAACCAGATCGACGTGGACCTGGCGCTGGAGGGCCCAGCCTGGAAGATCTCCCGCAAACAAGGTGGGGCTGGGGGGGCTTTGGGAGAGTTTGGGGGGCTCTGCGGGGGTCAGGGGGGCTGCATTCCCCCCTCTCCTAACAGGGTTTACCTACCAGGTGTCACCAAAGTCAACCCCCCCCCCCCCAAACGTGGGGCCCCTCATGAGGGGGAGGTTCCTCTGCTCAGGCTTTGGGGGCCATTTGCAGCCCCCTCCTGCCCCCCCCGGGCCCCCAACCCTGGGACCCCCCTTCAGCCCCAAGGACCCTCCCCAGAATCAGGGACCCCCCTTGACAGAAACCCCCCACCAGAGGAGGTTCCTGTTCTCTCTTGGGGGTCGGGCTCTTCTTTGGGGGCCATTCCTGGCCCTCTCCTGCCCCCCCCATCCCCACCTGGATCCCCTCGGACCCCCCGGCTCCCCTGAATCCCTGGAATTCCCCAGGGGTGATCAAGCTGAAGAACAACGGTGACTTCTTCATCGCCAACGAGGGCCGGCGCCCCATTTACATCGACGGCCGCCCCGTCCTGGGGGGGCAACAAGTGGAAGCTCAACAACAACTCTGTGGTCGAGGTGGGGCCGGGGAGTCCCGGGGGGGCCCTGGGGGGTCCCAGGGGGTCCCAGGGGTCCCACCAAGCCCCGCTTTGTCCCCCCAGATCGCCAGCCTGCGCTTCGTCTTCCTCATCAACCAGGACCTCATCGCCCTCATCAAGGCCGAGGCGGCCAAGCTGGCCCAGCAGTGAGGGGGGTGAGGGGGGATTGGGGTCCCAGTTTGGTACTGGGGGGGGCTTGGGACCCCCCAGCACCCCCCCATCCCAAACTGCTTCCAATAAAGTCATCGCTACCCCTGGGGAGGGGCTGCTTGGGGCACCCCAAGAGCCAACTGGGACCCCCTCCAAAGATATTGGGGTGCCCCTCCCCCTTTACCTGGCCCAGGTGAGTTGGGGGGGACACAGACAGACAACCCTCCCAACCCCCATCCCTGAATTCCTCCCCCCTCCCAAAAAAAAATGTTTAAAGCTCAACATTTCATTGATTTGTTCCGAAGTTGTAATTAATTAAAGGAAAAAAAAACAACAAAAAAATCAAACTTGGAAAAAAAAACATGGAAAAAAGGGGGGAGGCAGAAAAGTTGGGGACCCCCCCCCAGCCCTCCCCCATTTGGATTTACTGTCCTTGTTCCCAGGAATGTCTGGGATTTGCTCCCGGGTGTTGATATGAAGGGGATTTTGCGGGGGGGGAGAGGCAGGAACTGGGATGGGAATGAAGGAAATTCCCCAAAGAAAATCCAGGGAAAAAGCCGAAATGTGCAGCTGAGGGGACCCCCCCCCAATCCCAGCGCACACAGAGAGGTCAGAGGGAACACCCCAGATCCCACAGGGAACATTCCAGATCCTGGGGGGACACAGAGGGGACACCTCAGATCCCAGAGGGCCTCAGGGAACATCCCAGATTTGGGGGAGACAGAGGGGACTCCCCAGTTCCCAGAGGAGAACATTCCAGATCCTGGGGGGGTCAGAGGCCCCTCCTTCCCCCCACTCCTCCTCGCTTCCAGCGCGAGGGATTTTTGGGATGGAGAAGGAGAAGGGGGGGGGGCGATGGCAGCACTGGGGGGGTCCTGAGCCCCCAAATCCCGATGGGACAACACAGAACAGACCAGGATGGGGGGGAGAAAGGGGTAAAAAGGAGGGGAAATGGCACAGAACGGGAATTGTAAACGTGGCTGGGACCCCCGTCAGGATCCCAGAGTTTTCCTCAGGAATTCACTCCCTTGGGGTGGCTCTTGCGGGGTCTCCGTTGGGGGAGCCCCCCCCGGGGGGCTGTGGGGGGGCCTGGGGTCGGAGGGTTGTGGGGGCCGGGCCGGGTCCCGCTGTTGGGGGGCTCGGGGGGGCCGTTGTGCCGCGGGGTCGGGGCTCGGGGTCCTCCTTCTGCCTTCCGGATCCGCTGGGAAGGCTGGGAATGGAGGGGGTTGAGAACAGGGACCCCCCCCAAAACCCCCTCCCCTGGAACCCCGAATCCTGGGAATCTGGGAACCTCCAAACCCCCTCCCCTGGACCCCCAAATCCCGCTCTGGGAACACCTCAATCCAGAGAATCTGGGAAGGCTGGGAATGAGAAGGGGTGAGAACCTGGACCCCCCTCAAACACTCCCCCGAACCCCCAATCCATAGGGCTGATCCATCCAGGGAACCCCCAGAGCCCCCCAGGCCCCCCCCACACCCTCTCCAGACCCACCTCTCGGGGGGGGCCGGGGCCGTCCCCCCCCCGTGTCCCCCAGAGCCCCCTCGGGGGGTCCCGGGGCTTTCCCGGCCGTGCTGGGGGTGGGGGAGGCACTGGGGGGGCCCGGGGGGGCCCCGGGGGGCCCGGAGCTGCAGCGGGAGCGGCTGGAATAGCTGGTCTTGGGGTGGGACACTGGAACAGAGACAGCAGGGGAGGGGTCAGAGGGACTGGGATCACTGGGATACTGGACAGGATACTCTGGGAGCAGGTGGAGGGGCTCAGGTGAGCGACCCCAGGAGCCCCCAGCCCACCTTGGCCGAAGCAGGTGATGCTCCTCTTGAGCCCCTCCAGGTCGCAGGTGAACCTGCCGGCCCTGCCCAGCTCCTCGTCGTACTTGCGCTCGCTCACAAAGTGCTGCCAAAAGCGGGGAAAAGGGGGGGATTTGGGCTGGGAAGGGGAGCAGGAACAGGGAGATCCTCCCAGTTCTGTGGTGGAAGGGGGAGACCCTCCTGGTTCAGCCCAGGACAGGAGGGGTTTCAGGGAATTCAGGGAATGTGGAACTTTCCCCAGGTGTTGGGTGAAAACAGGATTTTACAAAACCACTTTAAATTCTGTTTGGAATCCAAAGTGTTTGGAATTCAAGGTGCCCCCCCAGGTGCCCCCGGGGCCCACCTTGATGTCAGCCCTGAGCTCCAGCAGCTGCTCCTCCGACATCCGCGCGGCCCCGTCCGTGAGTTTCCGCAGGGCCTCCGCCCTCCTCTGCCTCCCCACCAGGATCTCCACTGGGAAAACAGCCCTGGATCAGGGAAAAACCACCCCCCCGACCCCCCAGGCCCCTCCCTGGGGTAATTCCAGCTCCAAACAGGCACCAAACCAGAGGTGGAAGCTCCAGGAGGGACGTTGGGAGCAGCTCTGTCCCTTTGGGTCTTTTCCATTAGATTTGCCCCCATTCTGTCAGGGAAATCCCATCAGCCCCCCTATCCCGAAAGGTGGGATGTAGGAGAAACCCTGAAGGGAATTTCATGGAATTTTATGGAATGGTTTGGGTTGGGAGAGACCTTAAAGGTGAGCAGAAAAGCTGTTTCCATCCTCAGGAATGTCAGGATTTCGGGAATTCCCACCCTCTGGGGAGGTTTTGTAACAGCCATGACGGAGTCCTGAGGTGTTCGGGAATGATGGGAACAGGAAGGGAATCCTGGGAAAACCCCTCCAAGAACAGCCCCTTACTTGCTTCTGCCTTCACTTTGTCCATCTCTGCCAGCAAAGCCACTTCTCGGTCCATGAGGCTGCGGAAAACAGGGAAAAGGGAAGGGATTTAGTGCTGGAGAGAGCAGGGAAAGGCTCCGGGAGGAGGATCCAGCCGGGACACACCGGCAGGTGGAGCTGGAACTGCGGGAAGCGCCCAGAGAGCCCCGGATTGGGCGGGAAGGGGGAGGGGAGAGGGGGGACAGGGCGGAACGGGGGGCGGGAGGAATTGGGGAACAGGAGAAATTGGGGAACAAGAACTGGGAGCAGAGAGTTGGGGACAGGAGGATGAACTGGGGAGCAGGAACTGGGAGCCCCACAGGGCACCTGGAGCCCTGTGAATTCTGCCATGCCTGAGGCCCTTGGGGACACACAGGGGACACACGGGGGACACACGGGGGACACGCACGGGGGACACGCACGGGGGACACACGGGGGACACACGGGGGACACCTGAGCAGTGCACAGCCCCAGGGCCTCAGGAGACTGAAATCCCCCCCAAACAGCAGCACCGAACCTGGGCCAGAGTCATCCCAGAGCTGTCATCCCAGAGACCCCTCAGCTGTCCCAGAGCCCCCTCGGGTCACCCAAAGGGCCCCCAGGGGAGGCAGAACCCTCTCAAGTTCCCCAGAGCCCCTTTAGGTGACCAAGAGCCCCCTCAGGTCACCCCAAGTCCACCCAAGTGACCCCGAATCCCCGGGGTGAGCCAGAGCTCTCTCAGGTGAGGAACAGCCGCCCAGGGAAGGCAGAACCCTCTCAGGTGCCCCAGAGCCTCCCAGATCTCCACATCCCTCTGCTCCCGCTCCAGAGCCTTTCCCACCCATTCCCCCAGGTGCCAACAAACCCCAAAGGAATCCCAGTCCCCCCAGTCTGGCTTTGTGCAGAAACTGGCTCCCAGACAGACCCTGGGCCCCTCTGCCCCAGTTCCCGGTTCCCACTGCTCCAGGTGAGTCAGGAATTCAAATCCAGCTCTTTAATTGGGCTCATTTCCCTTTTCATTCCCAACTACAAAAGCCCAAACCCTCCTGTCCCTGTTACCCCCCTCGGAGCCACCAGGGGACAGCAGGGTCAGCCCTTCATCCCTCGCCTTTTTTGAGGGAAAAATGTTGGAAAATGGGTAGAATGTTTAATTTAGTCCCTGTCTGAGGCACTGAAATACCAACCCCCCCTTCCCTGGGAGGGAGGGGGATCAATCTCCACAATTCCCTGGAACAGCAGCTCTGACATTTGGCTGCTTCTGGTGATTTATGGCTCCCTCCTCCTGCCTTTTTCCAGGGCAGGGAAGGGGCAGAGCCACGGGAATGAGGCTTCTCCCTGCTCCCAGGAATTCCCAGAGTGGCCACACCTGGATGTGCAGCACCCAAAGGGCCTCAGTGTCCCCTGGAAAGGGCAGGAATTCCGGGAGCTGGGGGAGAAAGGGGGAATGTGGCCTTATTTGATTAATTCCCAGCCATTCCAAGCCATTCCCAGCCTTAATTAATGAATTCCCAGCCATTTCAGGCCATTCCCAGCCATTCCCAGAGTGTTCACACCTGGATCTTCCCCTCCCACAGGTTCCCTTTCCCTCCTGCCCATCTCTGTGTGAGCATCCGGAATTCTCGGATCTGGAGAAGGGTGGGAATGTGGGTTAATTAAATATTCCTTAATTAATGATTAATTATAATGCAGGAACAGTCTCAGGGCCTCATCCTGTTCCCAGGATTATTCTCTGTTAGCCAGGAATTGAGACCAGGATTAATCCCTGTTAACCAGGAATTAGTACCAGGATTAATCCAAGGAAAGGATGTTTTCCAGACCTGGAAGAAGGTTTTTACACGTGGAATTTGTGTGGAGAGGTTAAAAAATCCTTAAACCCCCACTCTAATAATATAAAATTTCGATAATATAGTTAATGTTATATAAAATAGATAATAATACATTGTAGGTAATTATAAGATGTATTATCAAAATGATTATTATAATATATTCTGTGTATTATAAATAATAATATGTAAATATATATAATTATATAATAAAGACAATATAGCTGGGATAAGGCTGGAATTCCCTCTGGGAGTTCTCCAGGCTCAGCCCAGAGACCCCAAAGCCCCCTGGGCACCTTCGACCCAAACCCTCAGGGAAATTCCAGACTCATTGATTCCCATTTTTAACTGATTTTAAGCTGATTTTAAGCCTGGAAAAAAACCAAACACTTCCTTCAGGGAAGCATTTTCCGGTGGGAATGTTGCAGGAGCACAAGGACAAGGCCACAATGAGCAGGCAAAACTGGCTAAAAGGTTTTAAATTCTTGGGTTTAGTAATTTAAAACTGTCAGGTTTTTGACACAAACAGCTTTTGACACCAAGAGCTGCTGAAATCCCGGGATGTGGGAGCAGGATTTCAGCTCCTTGTCAACCCAGGGCAGGAGTTTATGGATATTTTCTTGTTTTATGGATATTTTCTTCCCCCAAAACCAATATTTGTGCAGTTTCTCAGGGCTGGGTTCAATCAGCTGCTCCAAACATCATCCCCAGCACAAACCCAGCCCCAATTAAACCCCAGCACTAATTACACACAGAGGGCACAGTTTAAGCCTGGATTAAAATGGGAAAACAAGGCTTTTGATGTGTTTTTAGACCTCCCTGGTAACATCAAAGTCAAGCCTAATTTAAGGGTTTCAAACGGGAATGTTTGTTCCTCCAGGGACAGGCAGCAGCAGGCCACAAGATCCCAAAACTTCTCCTTCCACATCCCAAAATTTCTCCTTCCAGCTCGGCTCAGAGGGCAAGCCAAGGCACAAACCTGGCTGGTTTTAGTCATGGATTCATGGAATGGTTTGGGTTGGGAGGGACCTCAAAGCTCGTCCAGTCCCACCCCCTGCTGTGGGCAGGGACACCTCCCACTATCCTGGGGGATCCAGCCTGGCCTGGGACACTCCCAGGGATGGGAAATCCTCTGTAAAATCCATCCCAGCCCCTCACAGCCTCATAGGCAGGAATTTCATCCCAGAATTCCATCTAAATCTCCCCTTTTTCCAGATAGAAGCCCCTCACCCCTTGTCTTTGTCTGTCTTCAGCTCCTGGAGCCCCCAGGGAAGGAAAATGCCCTTTAAAGGTGATTCCAACCCAAACTGTTCCATGATCCCAGGCAAAAAAACAGGAAGAGCTGCTCAAGCCTGGAATAATTCAGGGAAAATCATGGAATGTTTTGGGTTGAGAAGGAGCTCAAAGCCCATCCAGCTCCATGGGCAGCGATACCTCCCACCATCCTGGGACACTCCCAGAGGGTGGTACAGCCACAACCCCACTGGACAACCAATTCCAGCCATCCCAGGAGCAGGATCCATCCCCAAATTCCCACCCACCTGCTCTGGAGCTCAGCAAAGACCTGCTTCATCTTCCTGATGGATGTGTCCATCTCCTCCTTGAGCAGGGCCCGGTACCGTGCCAGGGACACGGAGCAGCGCTGCAGGTCCTTCACAGACTTCTCGATGTTCGACCCTGGAACAGAGGGAACAGGCAATTCCAGCCTCTGGATCCTTCCCAGGGGCACGGGAAGGAGGGAACAGGCAATTCCAGCCTCTGGATCCTTCCCACGGACACGGGAAGGGATGTTCCAAAAACAGCAGGGATCAAATGCAGCCCTGGGCTGGGTTTGGGCTGGAGATGAGCAAAGCCCAGGCTGCTCCAGAGCCCAGCACGAGGGAGATCAACGGTTTGTCTGGGAAGGGAATTTCATGGAATTATGGAATGGTTTGGGTTGGGAGGGACCTTAAAGCTCATCCAGTTCCACCTCCACCAGGACATCTCCCACTATCCCAGGTGGCTCCAACCCAGCCTGGGACACTGCCACGGATGGGAAATCCATGACTTCTCCAGGACTGAATGTCTGGACTCTCCAAGGGATGAAAATCCTCCCACCAGGAGGTGACAGGACCCGTCCTTTCGGGTCCCGGGGGCAGAGTTTGGCTCCTGCCAAGTGAAATTAAGGATCTTGTTCCACCATTCCCTGAACTGTGCCCCTGATCCCCCCCAGCACAACCTCCCCGGTCACCGGGGGGTCTCCAGGTCCCTCCTGTCCCTCCCTGTTATTGTCACATCCCAGATTTGGACAAAACACCCCAAAAGGGGGGGGGAACCCCCTCCAGGGCTGTCACTTGTTGTCACTCGTTGTCACAGCCCCGGCCTGACCCTTCACAGGTTCTCAGGAACAGCCCCGGGATGTGACGGGGCATGGGGGGAGGGATGAGCTGTCCCTGCTCCAGAGAAAGTGCTGGAATTCCTGCTGTGCTGGGAGGAGGAGGAGGAAGGACCTGGACTACGGGAGGTGCCCCTGCCCAGGGCAGGGGGGTGGCACTGGATCACCTTCAATGCCCCTCCCAACCCAGACCATTCCATGAATCCATGGCTTTATGGTTTTCCCTCAATTATCCAAGGCTTGAGCAGCTTTTCCTGTATTTTTATGGATATTTGACATATATTTTACGGATATCTGACATATTTTACAGACTGATGAGTTCCCCTCCCAGTCTGGCCTAACCAAGCCCAGCTCCCAAGGCCTTCCCTCCTCCAGGAGCGGCTCCAAATCCTCCAATCCCTCCACATTCCCAAGGTTTTGTGTCCTTACCCATTTTCCTGCCGGGGGGTGACACCGGAGCCTCTTCCCGGGGGTCGGAGTGGGGGGGGGGCAGAGCCCTGGGGGGGGGGGGGGGGGGGCGCCTGGGGGGGTCAGGGCCGGACAGTCCATTCCTTAGGCCGGGCTCTGTTGGGGAAAGGCAAACTCTGAGCCAAAAAAATCCAGCAAAAACCAGGATTTGGGACCCAAAACCAAGGAAAACACCTCCCAGAAAAAAACCCAGAAAATCAAGGCTGTGCTGAAAAAATACCTGGAAAAATTAGGATTTAGGACCCAAAAACATCCCTCAAAAACCCCACCAGAAAATCAGGATTTAGGACCCAAATCCAAGGAAAATCCCCCAAAATGCCCTTCAGCCCCTCCCCACCATTCCCATTCCTGGTTTTCCAGCACTGACCATCCACTTCCCTGCCATCCATCGACATCCCATCCAGGCCCTCACTCAGGGAATCCACAGATTCCGTGTCCTGGGCGCAGCCGTTCATGTGGAATCCGTTCATCCCCCCCTTCTCCCAGTTTCCAGGGGTCTCCTCTCCAGGAGGAACTGGTTTTCCAGGGGCTGGGAGGGCAGAGCTGGAGCCACTGGGAAGTTTGGGTTTGGGTTTCTTCTTTTTGTTCTGGGAATTTCAGTGGGGGGGAAAAAAATATGTTAGTTGTGATTCCTGAGGGGATTTGTGATTCCTGGAGGGAATTCTGGCTGGAAGGGAAGGGAGTTAAATGGGTTTGAAGAGGAGGAGGGATTTATCCCACAATATGGGAATGCAGGGGGATTAATGAGGTGTGAAGGTGTCATGCCTTGTGAAATCTCATGGAAATCCCACTGGAATCCCACAGGAAATCTCATGGGAAATCACAGGAATCCCATGGGAAATCATGGGAATCTCATTGGAAATCTTCTGGGAATCCCACTGGAAAATCCCATAGGAATGCCATGGAAAAATCACAGGAATCCCATGGGAAACCTCGTAAAAATCCCACAGGAATCTCATGGGAAATCTCATGGAAATCCCACAGGAAAACAGGGAATTTTTGTGCCAGGTCCCCACAAGGTGCAGCTCAAAATCCCTCTGGGATTCCCTTTCCCACCATTCCCAACTGGATCCCCCAAATTCCAAAGGTTTTAGGGAATATTTAAGGAGTGGTACCTTTTTTTTGCCTGTCACAGTCCATTCCTTCAGCACGTCACTGGCATTCCCTGCAAAGGAAAACAGGGATGAGAGGTGGGAAAAGGAGCATTTCAGGTTCTTCCCAGACACTTGGAGGTGCTTCCACACCTGGAAAACCAAGTTTCAAATCTCCTGGTTGATGGAATAAAAGGAGGGTTTTGAGCTGGGCTTTGGGAATTCCCAGTTGAGATGTTGCTCCCTTGGGATACAGGGGAAAAATCCCATTTTCCAGGGGAAAAATCCAGGTTTCTGAGGAAAAAAATCCCCGAAATCTCCCCTTTGGCTCTGCCATTTCACAGGTTTGGGCACCAAATTCCTGTCCACAAACACAGGATGAACCTTCCACACCCCAAGTTCCATCCCAAATCCCAGAATTCCCACCTTCCATGAAGGCCTGGACTGTTTTATCCACACAGTTGTCAAAGTGTTGCAGGACCAGGACGATCTCATTGTTGCTCCTGTTGGGAACGATTGCTCGGACAGCTCCGATCTGGGGGGAAAAACATGGAAAACTGGCTGGAATTTGGGCCGTGGGAGGTGATTTATCTGGAATAAAGACTCCAAAGGCTCCTTTACCTTTTCCTTCATGTTCTCAAAGGTCCCTCCCTGGGCCATCACAGTGTTGGACTGAACATCAAAGATAAATCCCGAGGGATCTGTGGGAAAAGGAAAGTCCTAAATAACTGTGCCAAGGAGAACATGGCCCCCCCCAAATCCCACTAATCCCAAAATCCCAGCACCTGAGAACGTTGTCCAAACCCTCCCTGACCTCTGGAATTATGGAATACTATCCTGGATCAAAGTCCAGCTCCAGGCCCTGCTCAGGACACCCCAAAACCTCCCTAATTCCCAAAATCCCAACTTCTCAGAGCCTTTCCCTGAGCTCTGGCAGGTTTGGAGCCTCTTCCTTCCCTGGGGAGCTGTTCCAGGGCCCCACCCCCCCCTGGGGGTTGGATTTATCCCAAAATCCAGCCTAAACCCTCCCTTGGCACAGCTCCAGCCCTTCCCTGGGATCCCCCAGAGCAGAGACTGGGATGAACAGTGACCATTCCCACCCCTCATCCCCACATTAAATCTCCCCCTGATCCCAGCAACAAAGAGTTAAGGAGCCTCTGGAGCAGCCCTTGGATACCAATTTCCTCCTCCTGGAGACACCAGTGGCATCCAGACTGATAAATGGGAATGAAGATCCAGTAGTTTGTGTTCCAGGAGCTCCCAGGGAATGTTTGGATGCTCCAAGAGACCCATAAACGGAGACGAGCCATCACTGACATCCAAAAGGTCACATAAATCTGCACATCCCCAGCCATTCCCGGGGGGATTTCCTGCCAGGCAGGTCTAATTCCAGGTTTTAAGAAGGAAAAGGGATGTTGCTGTGGTTTTCTGGGATAAAATATGGTGGTTTAGGGCTCAGGAAGGGCCTTGGAGGGGATAAAAACAGGACCCCGAGGTCTGGAATGACCCCATTTGGCACCACCCCCCTTTCCAGGGAGTCATGGAATTATTAAGGCTGGAAAAGTCCCCTCAGACACCAAATCCAACTGTTCGAGAGGGCTTTTCCAAACTTGCTAATTCCATGAACCCCCTGAAAATCCCATGACCCTCTTGGTGCTGGAATTATTAGGGTTGGAAAAGCCCCCTGAGACACCAAATCCAACTGTTTGAGGGGGCTCTTTCAACCTCAATAATTCCAGGACTCCCCGGAAATTCCATGACACCTGTTCCCTCCTGAGACCTGAACCCCCAGGTCACACCATTTCTGTGCCAGTGAACCACACCCGGATCCCTTTTCCTTGGCAGCTCCCCAGGATTTGGGGATCCCACAGCCCAGTTCTCCTGCAGAGCCCCTCCGGTGTCCCCGGCTGTGTCCCTGCCCTCCCTGCTCCCTCCCCACCGACATTCCCGATATCCCAGAGCCGCTGGCTCACCCCCTCCCCTCCTGTAAATAACCAGGACGTGGGTCGGAGACGCCCCATTGACTCCCAGACATTGACGGAGCTTTTCCTCCCCCACAGCTCCAAACACAGTGACAGAGCCCTGGGAATGATGGAAAGGTCAGCCCTGGATTCTGAGAGGATAAATCCCTCAAAGCCCCTTGGCTGGATCCACATTCCCACCCCCCCACATCACTCCCCAGCATTCCAGCCCTTCATCTTCCAAAGGGCTCCAACCTCACCTCAACAAGGGGAATTAACGATGTTTTCCCCCAAAATTTTCACGGCAGAGCAGCCACTGAAGATCCTGGGGAAGGAATCCCAGAGTTCCAGGATCCCATGGATCCAGCCTGGCCCATCCCTCTGTCCCTTCCCACATCCCACCCAACTCGGTGCCATCCTGAAGTTGCCTCCATCCCCTTGTCCAGACTGATCCCAAATCATCACCAAGGACATTAAAGAGGCTCCTGAGCCCTGGCAAGTGCCCATTCCCAGCTGGAAGTGCTGGGATTTCCAGGGCAGGGAGCTCCTTCCAAGCCCCTTCTCCGGCTGCTTTGCTCCAGCCCCAAATCCTCCCGGAGTTCAGACACTTCTCATGCAAAAATTATGCACCTGAGCCGACCCCAAACCCGCTGGATACGGCCCTGGACGTGCTCCCAGGAATCCTTAATGGGATCTGCTGGCACTGGGGCTCCCCGGGAAGGGATGGAATTTCAAACGCGGCCGCTGAGACTCAGGAGTTTGGAATTTGCATTTTTGTGGGAAGGGAAAGATCCTTCCTTGGGTTGGGAAAAGCTTCTTCCACCTGTCAGGTAAAGCTCCTTCCCCATGTCAGGAAAAGCCAGATTTTCCCTCTGGCCAGAGCCTGAATTCCCTCAAAATAACAACTTCCCAATGTTTTCCCACAAATTCCCATCTTTTCCCTCAGCTTCCCCCTTGGTTTTCCCCTCCTAGACCCCCCAGTTCCCTTCCCAGGTGGGATTTTCCCTCAGCACTGACGGAACTGACTCCATTCCTTAAATCCTTAAAGGATTCCTTAAATGATTCCAAGGGCTCACACTCCAACACAACCACTGAAAACCACTCCCAAATGATCCCATATCCCGATTTCCAGGACTAATTGCCTGGATCCAGCTCAGGGCTCCTCAGGTCGGTGGCATTTCTGTGACAAAGCCTCTGGAAATAACCACTTTATGGAGAACAAAAGCTCTTCCAGGAGGGAAAGGACAGGAACTGTCAACTCAGGAGCCTTAAATTATTAATTAGTCAGTGCAAATAAAGAGAAAATGTGACCTCCCGACACACAAACACCCTCTGGAATTAATATTCCACACAAAGAATCCCCTGGAATCAGCTCCGAGGTGGCACAGAAAGGTGGGTGTGGAGGGAAAAAAACTGCTTCTGGTGCCACATCCAAGGAAAAAAAGGCTTGGAGAGGGTTCATTGGAGGTGCTTTTCCAAGAAGGAAGTGTTTTTCCAAGGCCTGAGCCTTCCCACCCCAAATCCAGGCTCATTCCTTGACTGGACTCCAAGGAAGGGGCTCCCACGAGCCACTCCAAGGAGGAATCCTGTCCCCAAATCCCAAATTCTGTGGAAAACACGACCAAATTTGGGGAGAATTAATCCATAAGGAATAAAAACACACCCCAAATCCAGGCCCAGCAATGGGATTTCACCACTGGGATCCCAAAAAACCCACAAAGCCCAGCTCTGCCACTTCCCAACTGTTATTTTTCCCTCAACATCGCCCTTTTTTCCTGCTCTTTTCACTCCTGCTGCCCATGGAAAGGCTGAGATATTCCCATTAGAGCCTGGAAGTCACAGCTGTCCGCGTGGGGAGCTGAAATGCTCCTAAAAATGTCACCGAGTCCGGGAGGTCCCGATGTCACCGAGACGGTGACAAGGAGCTGTCACAGGGCCCCGGAGGCTCCCCAGGGAACGGCGGGAGAACGAGGCCTTTTCCCAATTAAAAAACTTGGGAATCACCAGCCCTGGGCCGGGTGGAAAATGGGAGGTTTGATCCTGTCACGTCTCACCTTTTGTGTTCTGCTTTTTAGACATTCCCGGCTCCAAATTCGGCCACAGAACGAGGAGAAATGACGGGAATTCCGAGCGTTTTTGGGGACTGGGGAGGAAAATTCCCAGTCCTGGAGCTGTTGGGAATGAAGGACAGGTGGAGCAGCTCCTTCCTGGGGGAGGTTCTGTCCAGCTCCAGGCGGAATTTCTGGAAGAGAAAAGAGGGAACGAAAATAAGGGATGAAAAAAGGGAATTGCTGGGGTGGGAGGCAAAGTGTTCCCAGGGGCTTCCAGGGGTTTTTAAGGAATTGGGATTTGAAAGGGATAAAAGAGCCAGGTAGGAAAAAAAACCAGCTAAAAATAGATAAAAATTTGTATTTATTATATAGGTTTAATTTATGTCTTATTAGTGATATTAAATGTTAGAAATATAAAAAATAATGCCACAAAATATTGTCTACAATCACTATGGTTTCTATACTTTAATTTATATATTATAGAATTTAATATACTATAAGTTGCATGTAATGTTATATATTATAATGTTTATAGCATAAATGTAATAATTCTACATATTATATTTTTACAACATAAATGGCACATAAAGTAAATCCCATATAAAATAACCTCCATATATTACAAATATATGTAATTTCATATGGCTTTTTCTAATATAATTTTATATCACATAAATTATTCTATTATGAATTTTACAGCATATTATTTTTATACCTTATAAATTTTACAGCACATAATTTGTATTTAAAGGAAATCTTATATATTTATAACATTATTTTGTATATTTATAAAATATTACACATTTATGTTATATATAAATATTTTCTATATGAATTTTATACAATGTGCATTCTATGCTGTATAGATTTTAAGTATAATCTATATTTTGTATAATATACTTTTTGCTTAATACAAACACATAAATTATACTCAATATAAATGTTATGTAATATGAACTTTATTCTATTATAAATTATCCATAAAATATCCATAAAGCCCCAAATCCCTTTGGATTTGCTTCAGTTCAACCCTTGAATTTAAAGCCACTTTAAACCCCTGACAGTGAGTGAAAAAATCGAGGAGATTGGAACTAAAACAATAAAATCTGCCACAAATCCCAACATTTCGGGACCAGATCCCACCCAGGGACAACCCAAACTCCTGGATTTCAGGATTGATTCCCCCAGAAAAGGCAAAATCCCTCCAGCAACACCCAAACCCCCCGGATTTAACCCCTTCTTCCTGCTTTTTTCAAGGGGCACAACCCATCCTCCGAGGTGGAAATTCCAGGGGGGAGATTTTCCTTGGGGAAAAAAAAAGCAGGATAAGGGTTAAACAAAGACCAGGATCCAAAGGTGAGGGAACAATAGATCCGGCTCTGGGATAAACCTTCCTATGGAGCAGTGGGAAAGCTCCCAAAATTCCCATTTTCTATGGAAAACAGATCCCAAAATTCTCATTTTCCTCTGGAAAACAGAGGGATCTGGAGGTACAAAATATTTGGGATATTTGGGAGAGTTTGTCCCTGGCAGGAAAAGGGGCAGGAATGACCTCACAGGGAATTTGCTGCAGGATTAATTAACCCCTGGATCAAGGTTGTTTTTAAGGACTCAAAAGTGCCAGGGAATTTTTTTAAGGATTGACAAGTCCCAGGAATTTTTTTAAAGGATTTACAGGTCCCAGGATTTTTTTTTAAGGATTCACAAGTCTTGGGAATGCTCCAGGAACAGGGACAGAGTTTGGATTTAAAACCAGTCTTTTCCACTCTGGACTTTCCTTCCAAGCTCCCAAACTTATTCCCAAGGAGTGAATCCCAATGATTGAAATCCCAGATGAAATCAACCCTCCTTTCTGTACCAAAAAAAAAAAAAAAAAAACCCAAACAGGAAAAGGAATTTTTTACCTGGAAAGAGTCCCGAAAGGAAGGGATTAAACTCCTGCCTTCAGCTTTTCCCAGTTAAAACTCCTTCATCCCCAAAAAGCAAGTCTGGAGTTGGGAATTCCAGGGGGATCCGAGGGATTCCAGCCCAGTTTCACTTCCCTGCTTTGCTCTGTGGCCTGTGGCCAGAACCAGGAAACGCTGTGCCAGGAAAACCTTCGGATTCCAGATAAAGCCGGAGCTTAGGAAAGGCTGGAGCTCCCGCCCCGACCTCTGATCCCAGGATTAGAACCCTTTGGAAGGGCTTTAAACCCAAAGCTGGGCTTAAAATGCAGCAATTCAATAAAACCAAGACCAAAGTCCCCTTTATAATCTTATTTTTGGGAACAAAATCGGTGGGAATGCTCAGGAATGAGGGGTTGGAGCACCTTGGGAGTGTTTTAATTCCCCGGGTTCTAATTCATGGAACAAAGGGATGTTTAAAAAGTGCCTCTGCAGGGACATCCCGGGAGCAAATCGGGGCAAAAACACCTCAAAGGTCATAAAAAAGCTGGAAAAAATATGAGTTGTCTGTGGAGTTTTTTGAGAAAAGTCAAAAATCCCCCCAAAAATCCCACCTGAGCAGCCAAAAAATGGAGTTTTGTTGTGCAGTTTAAAGGAGGAAAATCAACAGGAATTAAGGGGGGTGGAACAAATGAGGGTTTGGAAAAGGGAATTTTGAGGAGAAAACGGAATATTGGGAATGGGAGTCAAAGCCCATGGATAGATAAAATGGGATAAAATGGTTAATTCTTGATAATTAATTAATAATAATTAATATTTCACCTGGTAAAGCTCCTGGCACCCGGCAGATCCCCAGGAATTCCAACCTAGCTTTAAGTGGGAATTTTCAACATGAAGGGTTGGAAAAAGACACTAAATCCAAGTGGGAATTCAGTGGGAAAACAGGAATTAACGCAAAGAGGAGGTGGGGGGGTTACAGAGAGACAGGAAAGCCCCAAAACTGCCCCAAAAATCCAGATTTCGATCAAATATTGTTGTTTTAAGGGAATTTCCGTGGAGCAAAACAACCCAAATCTGGCTGGAAGGACCAAATTTCTGCAGGAAACTTCCCCACGTCCCATGGAAATGCAGAGGATTGTTACAGGAGACTGTCAGCAGAGGGAAAACAGTTAAATTTCTCAGCCAGCAAGTCAAAAAAACCCCTCAATTCCCAAATTCCCAATTCCAGAGCTGGTTTTGCTCCATCCAGACTGATTATTCAAAGAAAATTTGGGTGGAAAAGTGAGAAAGAGGGAGAAATTTGTCTGGGTTTTTATCAGTCTCAGGGAGATTCGGCTAAAAGAACTGGTGTTTGAAAGAATTAAACAAAAATTGGGGGTTTTGGGGGTGTTTTGGGCTCCTGGAAAGGATCACGTGGATAATTGGCTTTGGAATTATGGAGCCTCATATTCCAGGTTATTTCCATCTTGGGGATCATCCCTGAGTACACAGAAATTGGCATTTTCTAATTATTTTCCAATAAAAATCCAATTTCCAACACTCTGGAGGCCCCAGGTGGGCCCTGACCCCCCTGTGGAGCACAAGGAATTAAATCCTGACTAAAAAATGGGATCAGACACTAAAAATCCAGGGATTTCTCACAAAAAACCACTGCAAAGTCCTCCCAAAAAGCTGAAAAAAGACACAAATTGTCTGTGAAGTGTCCGGGGAAGCTCAAAAATCCCCCCAAAAATTCCACCTGAACAGCCAAAAAATAAGAGTTTTATTCAGTTTAAAGGAGGACAAGGAACAGGAATTAAGTGGGAAGGGGGGAATAAACACACCCAGGGTTGGGATGAGGGTTTGGAAAAGGGAATTCTGAGCAGGAAATAAAATACATAAATATATAAAATATATTATAGATTATATAAATAACATTTAAAGAAAATATATAAAGATTTAACACCCCAACAGCCCAAATCCCTGTGCTGTGGTGGGAAGGTTTTTTTGTTCAGAACTCCCAGCTCCAGTTTTATCCCAAATTTTGCTGAATTCCCAGGAAATTTAAACCCTATACTTTGGGATTTTTTTCTCCCCCAAAACATGTGAAGTTCAAGTAGAGTAAAATAAACCTTTTTATCCCTTCTTTTCACACGTTCCTTGGTGGGTTCTGACCCAAAAGTGAATATTTTTGCCCCCAAACAGCCACAAAATGCATCAATCCAGGGATTTTATCCCAAAGGAAAGAAGGAGCAGCACCAGTTTGCCTGGAATTGCAGGGGTTTCCCCCCAAAAAAGTCTGTATAATCAGTTTTTTCCCCCCAAAAATCAAGATAATCAGTTTTCAGAAGCCTTTTAAAGACAAGGAAAGGCCAATTCCAGCAGCTCTTCCTATCCCAAAGGTGCTCCTGGAATACCAAACCCCATCTCAGGATTTAAAAGGAATAATTCCTTAATGTCCCTCTTGGGGCCGGGGGGGAAGTGGAAGGTGGGAGATAATGAGGTGTCTGTATTCCAGGGAAATCCACACATTTATTGTCTGGAATTATTCCAGGCACGGCTGGGAATGAGGGATTATCCCACATCCATCTTTTATGAGGTAACTGGGACACGTTTTCCTGCTTCAAAGGGGTAAAACTGTGGAGTTCAGGGGGTAAAATATTCCTGAACAAGGAGGGGAAGGAGAGGGGAAAAGGGGGGAAAAAGGGAGAAGGGAAAAAAGGAGGAGGGAAAAGGAAAGGAAAAGGAAGGGAAAAGAGGGAGAAGGAAAAAAGGAAAGGGAAAGAAGGGAAAGAGGGAAAGAAAGAAGGGAAGGAAAGAGGGGAAGGAAAGACCCCAAACTCTCCTTCAACTGCAACTGCAGTTGACCCTTCCCCTGCAACTTTTGAGGGAAGAAGCCTGAACATCTTCCAAAAGAACCATTTTTGTGCTGGGAAAGATCCCCAGGATCATGGAATCCAAGGAAAAACCTCCCAGGGAAGATGCGGTAGCTTTCCTGTGGGAGCATCCAGTGGGAAACACAGCCCAGACTGAGGGAAAAATAGTCCTAAACCCCTCAAAATCCCAAAATATCTGGTGGGACACTGAGGTCGAGCCCTCAGGAAGTTGTTGGGGAATTTTCAGGCCATTTTCCCCCGCTTTTCCAAGTTTTCCTCCCATCACAAGCTGGAGTTGAAGCTCCTGGGACCCCTCAAATCGCACCCTCAGGACCCCCAGGGGGGACAATTACACCAGAAAGCACCTCAGGGACAATTCCCACATCCCAATTAGAATCTTCCCCATTCTTCACGTGGAATTAAATCCCACGTTTCCCCTTCCATCCCTCTGGAATCTCTGTTTTCACAGGGAATGAGCCACAACTTCCCTGAAAGGGCTCCCTCAACCACAGCCTGGGACAGGAGCAGCACCCACAGGGAGGGAAAAGTGGGGATTAGGCTCTGGAAAAGTGGGATTTAAACTCTGGAAAAGTGGGAATCAGACTCTGGAAAAGCCTCCCAACATCCTGCTGCCTGGATGTCCCATGGAGAAATCCCTGAGTGGATGAGGAGGGTGAGAATCTGTGCTGATCCCAGGGACTTCGGGGGGGTTCTGGGGGGAACATGATGATGATGATGACGATAATAATAATAATAGTAATAATAATAATAATTTCTTGCCTATTTTCACCACGATAACTGTTGGGAATAACGACCAAGGGAAGGGAAAACCCCAGTCCCTGGGGATTTGGGAGCCATCTGACAACCCCAAAATTCCTGTCAGCCCCTTGGGCTGGCAAAGCTCCTCAGCCCCCCAAAACCCTCACAAAGCCCCTCAGACCTCCCAGAAGCTCCCTCCACCCCCCCATAAGTACCCTCAGAGCCTCCTCAAATCCTCACAAGGCCCCTCACCCCCCTATGACTGGACCCCTCAGACCCCCCCCAAAGTCCCTCAGCCCCCCAGACCCCTGTGACCCCCCCAAACCTTCACAAGGCTCCTCTGACTCCCTCAGATCCCCCAACTCATCAAGAGACCCCTCAGCCCCCCCAAGGAGACCCTCGGCCCCCCACCCCCAACCCCTCACGAGACCCCTCGGCCCGGCCCCAACGGCGCCTCCCCCGCCTCCTCCCGCCCTCCGGGCCGATCCCGGAGGTGCCCGGGGGGTGTCCCGAGGGGTGTCCCGCACTCACCGGGGGGTCCCAGGGGGGTCCCGGGGGGTCTCTCTCTTTGCCCCCCCCCCTTCTCCTCCTCCCGCGATCGCTCCGCGCGGGGGCCACAGCCCGGCAGAGCCCCCTCCGCGCGACAGCCAATCAGCGCGCGGCCCCCGCCCCGCCGGCCAATCACCGTGCCCCCGCGGGGAGCGCTCTGCCAATGACAGCGCGGGCCCCTTTAGTCCCGCCCTCCACCGCCGTTCCGCAGCTAAGCCCCGCCCTCCCCGCGAGAGGGGCATGGCTAACCCCACAGACAACCAATCAGATTCCTGAATCTTTTGATCACGCCCATAATGGGCGGGGCGAATGGCACCGAACGTGGACGGAAACTGGCGGAAATGCCCGAATGGGGGGGGGGTCGTTGGTGGGAGGGGGTCCGGGATCGGGAGATGGCGGGTTCGAGTCCCTGCCTCGACACAACGAGGGACGGCAGGGGTGAGGGAACAGAGGAGTGTCGTGTTTGTCACAGTGTCACCCCCCCGCCGCCCGCCGCGGCCCCGCCAGCTCTTCGTAGGCCTCCTGCAGCTCGATGAAGCGCCGCTCGGCCTCCTGCGCGCGGTGCCGGTTGTGGTCGGGGTGCCAGAGCTTGACGAGCTCCCGGTAGCTCCGCTGAACGTCCTCGGCCGAGCAGCCCCCGCGGAGCCCCAGGACCTGCGGGAGGCACAGGGCAGGGCGGTGGGAACGGTGGAGGGGGAGCCCAAAGCGGGGGTGTGGCCCCCGGAGTGTGGGAGCGGCCGAACCACTTGGACCCCCCATCCCAGCTTCCCCCACCCATGGCCCCCCCGTCCCAGCCTCTCGTATGTCACAACCCCCCATCCCAGCATCCCTCATCCCACAGACCCGCATCCCACCCCCTCCACCCCACAGACCCCCGTCGCAGCCCCTCCTACCCCACAGACCCCCATCGCAGCCCCTCCTACCCCACAGACCCCCAGCATGTCATCCCCTGCCCCATGGACACCCCAGCAGAGCATCCCCCACCCCACAGCCCCCATAGCCCCCCATCCCAACATCCCCCGCCCCAAAGCCCCCCCAACAGAGTATCCCCTGTCCCACGGACGCCACGGACCCCCCAACCCACCATCCCCCTCCACCCTGACCCCCCAGCCCCCCACCCCTCTCGTCCCCCCCCGCGTCTCCCTCACCTCCAGCGCCCGCCGCCTCCTCTCGTTCGCTCCGCTCCCCGCGCCCCCCCGACCCCCCTCGGGGGCCCCCCCGACGACCCCCAGCCCCTCGAGCAGCGCCCACCCCGCGCGGAGGGGCAGGACCCCCACCCTGAAGGGCAGCGTCAGGACGGTGCCCGCGACCCCCAGGGCCCTGCTGACCCCCCCCCAGGCCAGGGGGCCCCCGAAAGCCGCGACCCCCAGCCCCAGGTGGCACAGCCGGGCCGACAGCGGGGGCGGGGGGTCCCGGGGGGGTTCGAACCGGCGGTGCCACGCGGCCACCGCGGTGGTCGCCAGGCTGGTGGGCAACAGCCCGCCCTGGAAGAGGAGGGAGGAGAGGAAGGCGGCGACCAGGACGCGGGGGCGGTTGGTTCCTTGGTCGCCCACCGAGGCCACCAGCAGCACCCCCAGCGCCACGGCCAGCGGGGGGGGCACCCAGGGGACCCCCAGCGCGGCCACCAGCCCGAAATACGCCCCCACCAGCAGCTGCCCCGCCACGCGCGGGGGGGCTAAGGGTGGGCACGGCCCCAGTTTGGGGGGGCCGGGGGGGACCGTTGGCGGTCGCCACCCAGCCCGGGAGGTGCCACAGGTCCCAGAGCCACCCAGCACCGAAGCCCCCCAGGGTGAGGATCCAGAGCAGGGCGTGGCGGTCGCGGCCCAGGTACAGGTGGTGCAGCCCCAGGAGCCCCCCGAGCGCCCACAGCCCCAGGGCCACCACGAGGCTCTTGGCCATTGGGGGGGGTGGGCTCGGGGGGTCGGTCCTGGGGGTCCCTGGCGCAGCCCCGGCGTCTGGTGAGCTGTGAGTAGGGGGGTGAGGGTCAGGGACCCCCGGTCATGCCGATGTCCCCCCCATGTCAGGGACCTCCAGGGATCTGCTGGTGCACCCAGGACACCCTGAGCCCACCCAGCACGCTGTGAGCCCACCCGGGACCCCCTGAACCCACCTGGGACCCTGTGAGGCCCCCCGGGTCCCACTGACCCACCCCGAGCCCCCCAGCCCCCTGTGAACCCCCCCGGGCCCCCCCGCCCCACCTGTCCCTGCGCTGCCGTCGCCGCGTCACCCCCAGACTTTGCCCTGGGCAAAGGGCACCATGGGGGGGGCACTGCACAGGGGGGGGAGACCTGCAGGAACCTGGAGCCCCCCCAGACCTCCATAGCCCCAGATCCCCATCCCGAAGCCCCCCCCTCTCACCACCTCCCCGAATCCCCTCTCAGGGGCGTCCAGGGGGGCTGCCACCCCCCCCGAATCGCTACTGCCCTGAGGTTTGGGGGTCTATCACCCCCTCTCGCTGCTGCCTGAATGGGGACCCCCAGACCCCCCGTTTTTGGGGATTTTGGGTGTGCGTTGTCCCCCCACCGCTGCTGCCCTGAGGTTTGGGGGTCCATCACACTCCCTTTGTTGTTGCCCTGGGCCTGGGTGGGCCCCCCAGCCCTCTGGTTTTTGGGCCCAGCCCACCCCCGCTGCTGCCCGAACGAGCCCCCCCCGCCCCCCCCCCCCCCCTCATTTTTTGGGGGTACCTCCCCCCTACTCTCTGCTGTCCCCCCGGTTTCAGCAGAGCTGGAGCTCCCCCCGGTGCCCCCCCTTTACCGTGGCCGGGGGGCCGCTGTAGCTCCCCCGTCTCGCTGCCGTCAGGGCTGACGGGCCCCCCCCGCTGCCCACCCGCGCCTCGCTGCCTCCCTGACAGCAGCTCCCGCGGGACCCCCGCCCACGCTCCGCTGCCCCCTGGCCCCGACAGCCCCAAACAGGGGGGTCCAGCCCCCCCCGCGGCCCATTTGGGGGTGTCCAGCCCCCGCCAGCACCACTGGGGGGGTCACCGCAGCCTGGGGAGCCCCCAGATCTCTCAGTGTTCCCCCCCCCTCGGTGCGGGGGGGTCTCTCTGACATCCCGATCGATCCCTTTAAATATCTGGATTTAAAAATGTCAAATTTGCCTCGAGTCGATGGGGAGGAGGGGGGCTGAACCCCCCCCCGGCCGCCTCAACTGCTCTCGGAGCCCTCCGGCACCCCCGGGGGGTGCAGAGGAGCCCTGGGGGGGTCGCGGGGCGCTGGGGGGTTTAAGGGGGTCCTCAACCCCTCCCTCCCCAGCGCCGTTTTGGGTGTAATTGATGCCATTGATCGACCACGGCCACCGACAGGGGGGGCATCGATTTGGGGGAAGTTTGCTGGGAATTGGAGCATCTGTCACCGCCCGGGCACGGGGGGACACCGGGGACACGGGGGGGACACGGGGGGGGGCACGGCACGGGGAACACGGTGGGAGATAGGGGAGGACATGGAGGGGACATGCAGGGGACACGTGGGGGACACGACACGGGGGCACATGGAGGGACATGTGACCCGCAACCCACACAGACACATCTGTGTGCTCTCACACGTCACACACATGTGCACACACACATGTGC